CGATCCTGCGCAAGCATCATCGCAGCAGAAACTCCGGTGATACATCTAATGGATGCTGAGGAACGACCCAATGGATCTTTGTAGTCATCTCGGGGATGAGAACAAAAAGAATGAGAATGAGAATTGTTAATCTCTCGGGTTTTTCCAGTTGTTACTGAATTTCCGAGTCAGTCTAGTCTAGTCATAATGTGGCGTTTTTTTCTTTCTTGTTTTGGATAAGCAGCTGTGGTCTTGCTCTGGAGTTTCTGCTATTTCTCGAGGAGAGGCGAGAAGAGGGATTTAATCGGTTTTGCAGGTGGTGTAGGACGGTGGTTGGGTCAAGATATAGCTGGTGGCAATCCAAGTTTCTTTTAAAATGGAAGTTTTTTTTACCATGAGTTGGGAGTTTTTAAGATTTTTTTTTATTTTTATGAAATTCAGATGTTGTTTGTTGGTGAATTATCTGAAGAGTGAGAAGCGTTGGGCGATTGTTAGGTGTTTTGATACTTTTTCTTGAAAGTTGTTTCTTTGTTTGTCAACGCCTGGTCACAACGACTTGATGGTTCAATGTGTTTTCCCACATTAATAGGATATGTTTCCGAATTTGGTAGAAGCGCTGGATAACAAGCTAACAGATGATTAGGTTTCACTACGTAAACTTGAGTCTTGAGTTAAATGGGTAAGTCGACCCAGATCAATTTACTAGAGAAATTTTAAATAATGCGAACCGATATAGTATCCGTTTTCGGAGACAATAATGAATAATCTTTTCCATAGAAATAGTATATTGTGCATCAAGGGCGGAAAGTCAAGCCTTTCCATCCGAAGTGCACATGCGATTTTTGAACACGCCTGTAAAGGAAAGTTCGTATTTTGCTCTTTGATGAGCGGGAGGAAAGTATGAATTTTCCGTGCAGGGGTGTGAAAAATATTTTTGTACACTTTTCCGATTCGTAGATTCATAGCATCACTCATTTCGTCGATAATTATCAGATAGCCTTCGGTATATACCATTGATTCGCTAGAACCTACGGGTATTAAGTTGTTTCAAAAGCATTACGATTGAAATTTTCATCCCATCAAACGCTACAACTCCTCCTCCACATCAATTCCCTGGAGAAGTGGTAGGATGGTTGGAGTCGGAATGGCATCTTGTTTAATATTCTTTTATCAGAGTAATGAGCTTTGCTGGGAGAAATCATAAGGAGACTTTTACAGAGAATTGCAAGCGCCACAGAAACGGTCTCATGATATTTTTCCACAAAATCACCCATTCCCCGAGTGATGTCCTAATTAAACTTCTTTCGGTCAGAGCGCATTAGAACGTACCAAAGCGTCATGGAGAGGGCAAGGCGATAACGCGTTAATTCGGAGGAGTGGAGAGACGAAATGTACGTGAAAGTAAAAAATGTGGTATTCAACGGGTGGTTCAATTTCACTCTTGCATTCATTCCAGTCCTATGAATTAGACGAAATCGACCTTAAATATTTCCAGTTCATTAGACTTATTTGATCCTCGTTAAATGCAACAATTCTTTCACAAGAGCAGTCGACTAGAGAAATTGTAGAAAGGTTTGAGTGGACATAACATTTTGTTGATTGTCCAATTAACTCGGTAATAATTCATGCTGGAGAAAATCGCCGACAGACTTTTTTAAGAGAGATATCTCTCCTTCAAAAGACACTCTGGAAATTCTCCGATGAAATTACTCATTTTTTAAGGGGATACTACTATGAGTTTTAAAAGGTGCGGGCTATTGGAATGAGGTTTCTCATCCATTGAAGATCAATTACATATGTCTAAAAACGAATAATTAGGGCAAAAGAAATAGTTGTTTATTATTCGTTTACCCTGCAAACGTTTAAAATGTGGAAAATAGTCCTCACGGAGAGAAATGTTCAGTAGAAATTACGGAATTCACAATTCGCTCACCGATTACGGCATCGACTCAGAAAATTTAAGTGACGGTATCGTAATGTTTCACTGGAGATTCAGATAAAAATTACGGAACGCTCTGGAAAAATTCCGTGACAGTTCCGTAAAATTTCCTACAACCGCATTTCGCTCCGGAGTTACGGAAAAAAAACGTAATTTTTATTGAATATTTCTCTCCGTGCAGGGCCTCTAATTTTTAAGCAACACGGAGAGAAATTTTCTAGAAAAATTCTAGTACGAATACTGGAAAAAATCACAATCCACGGGCTGTGAAAAATTCAAGTGCTGTTAAGGTAAAATTTGTTGGTATTTCTGGTAAAATTTCTGGGCATTTCTGTGAAATTTTCACAGAAATACGAGAAAAATTCACGTTTTCCCCAATAAAATTTCTAGTGCCGGCACTGGATTTCTTTTCTGGCCGTCACTTTGCGCCTCTTTTCCCGTGCTAGCACTAGAATTTTTCTGAAAAATTTCTCTCCGTGTAGAGAGGTTTTTTTTTTCAAATTTTTTGAAAAAATGCGTGCGATAACAATTACGAATTATTTTTTAGAAATTCAACTCCTACGCAGCTAATTTTGTTGTTTGCTTCCGAATGGATTATGCTCCAAAAAGTCCGAAATAGTATATTACGTGCTAAGGCGGAGAAGTGCTGAATTCAACGCTGGCACGTGAGTCGTAGACGAACGGTGCCTCGTGCGCCTGTACTCCACCAGCGTTGAATTCAGCACTCGACGCCGAAGCGCGTATACTATTTTTTATTGCGAAAAGCCCGTGGGGGTTGGGGGTGGGGGCGTGGAGCGGGGTCCAGGGGGCGCAGCCCCCGGCGGGGGGGGTTGGGGGGGGCGGAGCCCCCCCCACTGAAGAAAAAACAAATTGCAAAAGAAAAAAAAAATCAAATGCATTTAAATTTCCCCGCCACAGCCGGGGAACAACAACTCCAAGAGAAGCCAACAAATCACCATCATCTCTCTGTAATCGTATTCCCCAACCTGTGATCAACGACATCTCACCAATTCCACTTCATGATGTCTCACCAGATCCTGCTCCAAATCTACAGTTGAATCAACTTCTACGTTCCCATCCAAATATCAATCTCAATTTTTACAATTGCTCAAATTTTAAAGTATTTGATAAAGAAAATAAGGAAAATAAGTGAATCTCGAGATCTTAGTTGAGATAGATGGGCATAACTGATTGTTTTGTTAGATTTTATTATTTAAACTATGAGTATTATTCTTGCGTTTACGTTGTAGTTTATTTCAGAGTTTCAATAAAAAATTTTCTATGAAATGATATTTCTAATATTATTATTATCAAAATTAAGATTTTTTAATAATTTATTTTTCATTTTAATTTTCAGGTGTATTTTCAAATTTAAAATTTAACAATTTTGAAGATAATGAAGGGGATTCACTGGCTGAATTTATCAGTTTTTATATGTAGTTTTATATTTCGGTACATTAACGCTGGGTGGCGCCACACGTTTTTCAGTCCTAAGGAGTGCATTTCTCACTTTTTCACTCCTAAGTAGTGCATTTCTCACTTTTATACTGCTCAACGGTAAAAAGACCTACTTCTCATGCTTAACTACCGTCGGTAAAAGAGCCCTTTTTGGGCTTGAGCAATGAAAATGCAATTTTTATGTATGTGCATGGTAAAATTTTTCTCCAATTGTTGGCTAATGAATGGATGGAATTGAATCGTTGTTTTTCAAATTTAGGTATTGCTGAGCCCTATCGATCACCATTAATGCAAATTTCATTCATCGATTCGTTTTTTTACTTTTTGAATTTTTTCGAAAAACGTTTGTCCCATGATAACTAAAAAAATGTACTGAATTGATTGAATGATGGCTTAAAAAATTTGTTTGGATGTCATTTTAACCAAGTTCGAAGATAAAGATGATAGCAATAATCGTTATTTTGTTTTATTTTAAAATTTTTAAACATTGTGTATTGTTTGAAAATCAGAATTCCGGGGATATCTTTGAATATCATGCTTCAAATGAATTCAATCATAGCTTGAAATGTTTGTTGTAATGCCATAAAGTCGAAGATGATTACGAAAGCTACATTGGTTGATTCGATTTTTATGATTGTTGAAAATTTTGAATTTTTCATGAATTTCTCTGAAAGTGAGCTTTCTGATGGTTTCTTCAAATGTGATGCTTCAAATTCATTCATGTGTAAATAAAATTTTTCTATTAACATTTTATCGAAGGGCTGAGGGGAGAGATAGAACTGTAAAAAAGACAATCGGTTGTATAGAAGAAAAGGGATAATAAGAATAATGATGGTGATAACATTCAACTAACAATAAGTTAAAAATCTGGCAAATTAGGTAAAAGGAAATCTTATTCAATTTAATCAAATGAAATAAACAATGAATTATACATGATAGAAGGAAATGATGTGCAAAATAACCATTCAGAAGCATATTGCTAATGTATTAGCAAAAATAACTAGCTATATACGATACAAGAGCAATTACCGACTTGTTTTAATAAAAAAATTGCACCATTTATGTGAAATAGCCTGACAAATGTTTCGGAAAAAATCGAGAATATATTTTAAATATTTTAAGGATAATTTTGCCGCCTATTTGACATGAATAGCGCAAATTTTTATATTAAATGAAACGAAATTAACTGTGTATGAGTCAAATTTGAAGAAACTCATTCGTAATAGTTATTGTACACATTTTTTTCAAAAAATTTGAAGAAAAAACTTTCGCAACTCAAAAATTGGAGCCCCTGGACATTTTTTTACATTCTAAGCGTCTGCGGGGCAAACGAACAATAAACTATTAATTTTTTTGCACTAATTATTCGTTTCCAGACATATATAATTGATCTTCAATGCATGAGAAATCTCACTCCAATAGCCCACGAGTTTTAAATCTCACAGTAGTCTCCCCTTAAATGAGCACCACATGAATAAACATTTCGTAGATTTAACTCAACAGGTTTGTGTTAATTTGCAGGTGAATATTATTCAGAATTAATACATATTAGGAGTTCTGTTATTGAAGATACGATGTAGAATATTATTAGTACACAAACATATATGATATGATGTACGCTTACCACTAACGTAGGTTTCACTTCAGGCACTTTCAATCCAAGGTTACTCAATTGGTTTAAACACTGCTGCATACAGTCCGGAACACTTTCTCCGTATTTAGAGTAGGATTTTTGTTCCTCTTCGCTTCCCCTCAACACATTATTGGTGCTGTTATTGGTTGTGTAACCTTGGTCTGAACTAGCGCTGGATTCTGGTCGGGACTGATCCGAATTGTAACAGGGATTCCGGGGTTTTTGGATAATTCCCACTGGTTCCCAGATTTCACTTGTCGATGATACATAATAATTGCTCTCGTGTGTCTCTCTATTGCGCTCGTCAATGATTTTATTATTACGAGACACTGTGACTTCTTCTTTAGTTACAATACTGGATTTTGTACTTAGTGACGTTTCCAAACGTACTGGAGCCCTTTTAGAAACATGGGAATTGGGTGTACTCAGATGGACAATCGACAAAACCTCACAATACGAACAAATTTGTTTGTTGAAGGATTACAGTAAATAGTTAAAACAAACGTTAATTCTGTCATTCAAGAAATTCAATTAATTTATTGAGTTTAATTGATTGATGGTATAATCAAGTTTCCAATGAGTTTTGATGCCAAAGAGTCGAATGATTGTATTCAAAATGTATGTCACTGGTTGAAGGAGATGGTAACCTCACTTAGTCTCGTATCAACAAATAGAGGAATTTCTTGTACTCCATTACATAAGAGGAATGAGATGAAATCAACATATTCCACACCATTGAAGCTTTATATTGTTTTCCTTCTGTCAGAAATACGACTATTTATTGTAAATTTAAAAAATCGTTCAATTTGGATACTAGACGGCATTTTTCTGTTGAAAAACCGAAACCTAAATCTACATTAAATGTCTATAGAAATGCCACTGATGCTATGTAAGAAAGCTATACACGTATGGAAAAATTCAATAGAAAACCTAGTGAATTCGCTAGAAAATGATATTGGAATTCCATAGGAATTCGATGGAGTTTCGATAGGATTTCTATTGGAATTCTGTTGAAAAACTCTAATTGTTTCTTGCTCTGATTCTATTGGACATTCGATAATAAAAAGTCAATAGATTTCGAATTTCTGCTTGGATTTTTCTCTTGAGATTTTTTCTATAAGAATGCTTGGGTGGCATTTTTTTAGTTTTTCCCACTCGGATTCTGTAATACAAAACAAAACAAAATCCAGCGGGAAAAACTTGTGCCCAATAATTCTAATAGAAAAAATGTCAAGAGAATAATTCCAACAGAAATTGAAAATATATTGACTTTTTTCTATCAAATAAGCAATAGAATCAGCACAAAAGAACAAGTAAAATTTTTCAATAGAATTCCAATAGAATTTTCTAGCGAATTCACTAAGTCTCCTACTGAAGTTTTTCATGCATAGGCATTTCTTTATAATTCGTTAAATTATATACAACCAATGAAATATAAAAATGTCACGAATATCGTTACCGCATATGCAATTTGAAAAATTTCTTGCAGAAGGTATTGACACAATATAAAGATTTAAAATGTTGATTGAATAATTGAGAAATAGCTACCATTTCCTTACTGATAAATTTTTCAATCTGTATCTATTCTACCTGAGGATTCCAGCCCTGATAAGAATTTGATTAAGTAGATCACAGGATGGTATTTGTCCCGTGAGTATCGCCTCTTTTATAGCAACACTGTCATCGCCCTCAAGCTTAATAGGTACCCCATTAATCAATAATACTTCCTCCTCGCATATCGAGGATTTCTTTTCACAGTCAATAACCTTTACCCCAGGACCAAGGATAGACTCCACTGTCGACTGAATCTCCTGATCATCCATATCTACACACAGTTAACAAAAGTATACCATTCATTATTGTGGAATGATTATTCAATCCATGAATTTTCATGAATAGAAATTGTGGACTTTGATTAATAATTCAAACAGCAATTCGACATTTCTCAGAATACTTGGAATGGAAAAATTACTGTTATTGATAGAAAACCCATGCGGTTTACGAATTGCGTTGATTTCTATGAAATGTTGGGGTTTAGTTCTTTATAAGGAGAGGTTTCCTAACGGATCGAGTCGAGTGCGCTCGACAATTGCAGCCTGATAGTAACCAGAGTGGATACTTTTAAGAATATTTCGCATGTTCTGGAGGTTTTGGATGGAATGACGCATTTTTTACTTCACTTTGTAGTTGATTTGGCTATTTTGATCTTTTATCGTTTTTAGAGGCATACATATAAGTTAATTGCACTGTTAAAAATCTCCATCAGTTTTCTGGAAAATTTGCGAAAAATCAAGTTGCACTAAATCTCAAAGTATTCGCACAGAAAAATCGTCCGTTTAATTGTGAGAAAGGATTTCTACGATCATTTCCCCCATGACCCTTCCGACCAATAGAATTGCGGTATTCGACGTCCCGTGGTCTAATCAAAAGAGAATTATATCGAGAATTCCCTCCCTCTTCGGTTCGCCCAATCAGAGCGCAGTATTCGAGATTCCGTGACATCTTCATATTTTTTATTTTGATAATTCAACAGGCTGTTAGTGAATTATCAAAATGATAATTCCACAGTTGCCTGTCAACTGTTCTCTCTGATTTTGACCTTTCAATTTGTGAATAATTGTGTTAGATTGTGTTGAGTTGATTCGCAATACCCTAATAAAAATCAAATGTCCAAGCGCCATCTCCCGAACTTTCCAGGGGCCCTAGTAGAAATTCTGACTGGCAGGGCGACATTCGGTTGGCACGCGCGCCCAGACATTTGGTCTCGTGTATTGGTCGCACTAGCGGGGACGTTCCGCCATTAGCCACACGTATGCTATGCGAGAGTCGCCCCTGGAAAGTCCGGGCGAGGGCGCGTGGACATTTGATTTCTAGTAGGGGGCGACCCTTGTATAGCATACGAGTGGCTAATGGCGGAGCGTCCCCGCTAACGCGCCCAATATACGAGAACAAATGTCCGGACGTGCGCGCCCACCGAATGTCGCCCTGCCGGTCAGAATTTCTACTAGGGTAAAGAGTCATTGAAAATGACTCGATTTTTGGCTATAATTCTTTACGGTAATCGATACCAAGATTAACCATGTTTTTTTTTTACGTCTATGAGATGTTCGTGTAAGATGGACGGAAATTCTCTCCGAATGCCCTTCGATCTTCAAATTCTTCAGTTTCTCTGCGTATCAGCGACCGGGATGAGTTTTGCAGAAAAATTTCATCTTGCAAAATTCATCCCTCTGGTAGCTACGCAACGAAGCTATCGAGAAATATCCGATAATTTTGAAGATCTCAGGGTATTGCATGTGATAATCTTCCGTTGTTCGGTAATTACCGGTTGGCAAGTAGAATAATTAAAAATTGTCGATTGTACCACGATGATACCGAATACCGCAATTCTATTTATCGAAATGGTTTTTTTTATTAAAGCACAAACCTAATGGTTACATAAACGGAGAGAAATATTCAATAAAAATGACGTATCTTTTCCGTTATTCCGGAGCGAAATATGGTTGTAGGAAATTTTACGGAACTGTTACGGAACTGTCGAGGCTTCTAAACAATCTAGCTTATAAACAATAGCTTCTAATCGAGCTCGAGGCATCTAAACAATCTGAAACTTTGATTGATTTTTTGGCTAGCGTCAACATCAAAAGGTCATAAGCATCGACTCTACACAATCGATATTTTTTTATATTACTACTGAAGGAAAGCATTGTAATCTTCAAAATCGATATTTCCAGATTTTTGTTAGGAGTAATAATTTTAGGATTAGGAATCAAATATGATGATTTCAGACCATGTCCATATGTATGTACGTATGTAGTTGTGTCTGTGTGTATGTGGACAACTTTTTTGCGTTTTTCTCGATAGTCTATTGATCACATTATATACTTTTTTCATAGAATTCACTGTTCAATGAGCATTATCGTTTGTTACGAATTTCATTTTAATGGATGGTGCAGTTTCCAAGATTTGGATATTTTTTAAAATTTAGTTTTGCCCAGTAATAGCCGTAAGAACATCAGATTACGTAATTAAAGCTCACAAGGGTCTGAAACGGAGGTCAGAAACATGGTTCAGAAATGAGAGTAACGAATAAGGTTCAGACATGAAGATCATAAGTCCCGATAGATTCAGATTGTAATAGGAGTATCCATTCGGAAGCAAATCGAGATACGCGGTAGTGTATCGACCAAGGAAAAGTTTTGACTCTGACTGTACAAAACTGGCTAAACGCTGCAGTGTATCTATACACGAAGCAACTCCCCCTCCACTATACCTCTGAATCATATCCATTAAATAAAACTCAAACGTGACAAGCTACATGAAAAATATTCTTAATTACAGTATATAAATCGGCCACAATGTTGTCACTGGTGTAATTATTTTTTTGTTCGCTTTAATATTTAAAAAACAGGTTCATATGCCCATTCTCGCATTTCACATAATCTTCTATCTTTTTATTATTACGGAGTTAATCTTCTATCATTTTTTTACTACGGAGTTGCTAGCAGGACAATACAACCACACGCACCAAGAAGGGAGCTCGAGAATTTTCCAACTGAATTTGGTGCATGGATGATAAATTCCATAGATATTTTTTAATTACGTCTCGTGCGTAAATGAATTTTCGAAAGCTAGGAGATTGAAATTCAGTAGAACGTCCTGTTTAGTGAGCAGAAAAAAATAAAAAATAATTTTCATTTCACTTCGGAAAACAGAAATAAAACGTCAGGAAAATAGCCATGTGGCCGTTTTGAAAAAAATTTGCAAAATCTCCGAAAATAACAAAAACAAATGTTTTAGTAAAAAAACCGCGCCAAAGAAGCAGGACCACCGTCCTTGGCGCTTTCTTTCAACTCGTTTTCAACTCGCTGTCGAATATTCATCTAATCTTCTATGTTCTGATCCGCGCCAAGGACGTAGGTCCTGCTTCTACTGATTTTTTATTTCATAGAGATTTTTTTTCCAATCGTTATTCAATTTAAAAATATTTTGCTCGTGAACATCTGATTGCGCCCGGTGGCTTGGCGCAGTTGTTTTACAAAAACATTTGTTTTTGTTCTTTTGCAAATTCATTAGCAAATTATAACGAAGGGCAATGGACCACTTATTATTGTTACTTAGTCTGGCGTAATAGATAAAAAACCTTAAATTAAGACGTCTTGTTCTTCAGATTGAGAGCATCGTTCTTATTTCAAGGACAACTTTACCTGTGTCAATAAAATTTTATGTCAAATAGAGATACAAGCAGGGAACCGAGTCTATCCGACCGAAAACATGTGACCGTTACTTTATGTGATATTAGCCTTTTCTTTATTTCTACCAATACCATTCGTAATAAGCTTCCGAATGGATCAGTGACAATTTGGTTTTAAATTGCAAAAGGACAATTTTTATTGAACTTCCTGATTTCATTCGATAGATATTATCATCAAGACATTTTCTTGTTCAAACAATTCAATTCAGGCAACATGTTCTGCAATGGGTTGATTAATAAAATTGATAACGAAGGAATAGGGAGGATCTGTTTAGAATCGAATCCAGAGTGGAAATTCCGGTCAGGTCTTGATCAAGTTTGGATCAGGTTAGACCTGACCACTGATCAGGTATTTTTTCACCGTAGGCCGTCTCTCTGAATGAATCTCTACGGTTATTACCTCTGAAAAGGCTTATTATTTTTTTAACGATGTTGGGGATCGAACCGGGAACCCCATGATTGCTAATCCTATGCCCTAACCACTACGCTATCGCGCTATTACTATTGAGTAAACTGTACATTGCCTATATGATTTCTGTCGAGGTATTCGTTGAATTTACGATTATTCCTGATCTCGCGAATGTGCGTGTGTATTCTCAGAGATAAAATATGTTCAATTAAATTTTTATTTATTTCAGTAATGAATAATAATAATGATAATGACAATAACACTAATAAATAAATAGACATTTGGTGATTTTTTTCTCAAGATCATTTGCGTGTAAGTTTGATACTCCTCTAATACGTATTTACGGCATCATCATCCCTCCCTTCTGTACATTTGAGAAGAACTAGCTGTTAATGAAATTGATTAATTTAATTAAATTCATTAAATTAAATTAATTTAATTTAATTTATTTTAATTTTTTTTTTTTTTTTTTTATGCTTATTTTTATATCGCTTCGAGTCTGATGAGACTATATGGCGATTGATCAAGACTTTAAAAATGGTTAGATCTCACCATTCTACCCGGCCAGGAATCGAACCTGGAACCTATCCGTTGTGAGGCAATGGCCTTAACCACTACGCCAGGCCACCGGACTTATTTTAATTATAGTATAATGATCCTTTTTAAAGATTGAAAATAATTATTGATAGTGGTTGATAAAACATAATTTGAATAGTATAATGATAGTTAATTAAATTATCCGAAAAACTTATTAAAATTAATGTCAGGTGGAGCGGATCTGAATCTGATCATTTTCTCTTCAATTGACCCCTTTCAAATGCCGATCAAGGACATCAAATCCGAATTTGATCAAATTGGAGTCAGGCAGCCGACCTCAGGGTGAGATCGTGTCTACCTGATCAGAACTTGATCTGAACCCGCCTGTAGTTTTTCGGATCCGATCTGCTGGATCAAAACTTGGTCAGGTTCTCATCAGGAATCACCGGATCAGTCGAACCTTACAAAAACCTGATCAACTTCTGATCATGCTTCAGGTGGGCCTGAAGCAATTTCCACTCGGGATGTTGATTGTTCACAGTTATCGATTTTGAAGTATTTTAATTTTACGTTGTATGAATTTTTCTGCCAGATGTCAAAATCATTGATAAAATGACGATTTTTC